GATGATAACTTTAATACCGAGAGAGGTTTGAGAACTTTATTTCTTGTGAATTCTTTTATGAGGATATAATGTGTTTAAATGTGTTTTGTTTTCTAGATTTGGCGAAGTGATTTTTGATCCAACAATGTTTATAGTCTTTTGCTTTGTGTTACGAATAACATCAGCAATTGGGGCAGCGGCAGCTGAAACTTCTGTCCTCGCTTTCGTGCTCCAGAGGTTTCCAAATAATACCGGAGCAATTGCTGTATGTTTGCATTCAGATGTTAATAATTCATGAGCTGTTATTCTAAGGCTCCGTTCAAACTATGCTAGATAAATATGAAAACGACGTTTTCACTCTGGTAACGCAAGTAACTTATATCCGTCCAAACGGATGAAACGTTTTCTGTCCACAGTACGCTGGATAAATTTGTATACGCGACAACCAACGGCTGCAACCACTATTTTCAAACATGATAACAGTGCTCATTCTGCCAAAATATAAAAGCAGTAACTTTGTTATGTTTGGAAAGCTCGATTTAAATCCGAATTAGTGTGGACGACGACCTAACCGTGTGTGAATGAACCCGTGTTTTCAAATTTCTCCGCAGCGCTTTATTTTGGACTGTTGATCACTGACATTTATTTAGAACAAGTACAACTTTCTGATTGCCGCTTATTTCGTTCAGGTTTTTTTGCATTGTGATATCCAAATACAGTCACAGCCCGACTTGTCGCACGGTTCACTTCAAAGAGTATCGGACATGCATCGACGCACTTCTGTGCATAGTGACTAGTCGAATCTTTAAAAAAAAATGTAAAAAAGCGTTAGTAAAGTAAGGGATTTTCAGAACTGGAGACTAAATTCTGTTCCATTCAGACGGTATGATTGTTGCTCTTTTAGTTCTACCAGAAAGACAAATCTTTAATTATATATTTCTTTTACTTTTTCTTGGAATGATATCAAGAGTGATTTTTCCCTTGTAAATCCATTTGTTTAGGCAGGAATGCAGCTATCTTGTCTTGGTGGAAATTCCTTTGCTCCAGTTTTCGGAGGGTTTCTCTACACGGTGAGTACAAACCTGGTAAAACAGGGATTTCAATTTAAGATTAAGAACAATGGGGGGAGATTATCTAAGTTATCTTGGATCATCATTGTATTTATTTATTTATTTATTTACAATACAACTTCTGCGCAAAGGTTGAGCGTCAATATTCAGAGCTGATCCTGTAAATTAATTAGCAGTGCTACCGGTACTCGTTATTTTTACAAACCTTTCCTGTTCACAGAGTAACCACAATTAGGGTTACGGACATCTAAAGCTGCATGCAATTACGCACGTAAGCAGTTTGGCGATTATAATCACTCGTGCTGGGAAGAAGGGGGGGGGGTGCTTACTCGTGATGGGCGTTTACCTTGAGAGAGGCGCGTATTTGAACGTGGCTTAATCGAAAAAAAATTAAAAGTGAAAATGCACTGAGAATAATGTAAAATGCGCTGAGACCACTTGAAAAGTGTCTACATATCATAATGCGCTCTTTTGGGAGATTTTTTTGATTGCGAGGAATGCTTTATCATTTTTTTGCACAAGTTAAAACTGACTTTGCTTTGACACGTGGTCTTCGGTCGTGTCAACAGTTTTCTCGTATTGGTAATATCTCTCATTCGATCGCTTCGTTCATTCCTGATAGACTTCATCAACGCTCGAAGGTAAAATTCGTTTGCACTTATGGTCATGTAATATCCATTATATATATACCTAAATACCCCTTGATTTCAAAATATATAGGCTCAAGTTTGTCTGACTGAGTGACGAGTGCGTAAGCACGAAACTCAGAGTTACAGGGAATCATGCGTGTTTTATTTTAGTCATTTTGAACTGTAGGCTCAAGTTTAGGAATGTTGCACCTCAATAACGAAATCCTTTTTTCATTCCATGATATACATATTTTTGTTTCAGGTAGGAGGCTTCAAACTTCCTTTCATCATTATGGGTATAATTCTGTTATGTAGCACTGGAATTTTAGCTTTTCTGCTATCACACGAAACAGGTTGGTGAGGTAATTCATGTAAACTATCCGTTAGACTTAGTACGAAAACGATTTTCTTTTTGATATATTTATCCACTTGAAACATTTCCATTTTTTTTAACTGATTAGAGAGTCAGAAAGATGGTGAATCAAAGGAAAGCATATCCATTTGTAAATCTATGCGACCATTAAAGATTCCCGCTGTTTTTATGATGGGTAAGTTTCACATGCATCCTGGGTAAGCCATTAACTATAAATAATACAGCCCGCGAACAAGCTGTCAGCGTGCTACGACACAATCAGCGAGGCCGTTGATGGGCTGGGCACGAGAGATTCGAGCCAGGCTTTTTGCAGCTCGTGCCGTCAAACCGGCAAACAAATTGCAAGCTTTGTTTCCAATTCACTTCACGACGCTATTCTGTTTATGAAAAAAAAAATCAAGATGGAACATCTAGAATAAGTATCACACAAATTTAGCTGCATACGATTTTTTTCCCAAACGAAATTTATCCCTATCAGTTCGGGCCATAACCATTTCTGGATATCGGTTTCGAGCTTTGTGATTGGGTGAGATCAAAACCAAAACAAAGCAAATTTGGCCGAGAGGTAATGGAAACAAGAAAAAAGCTAATTTTTTTTTTTTTTGTGGCGGCCATGTTGTGATGCGGTAGTAAGGTAGTAAGCTGAAACAAAATTCGCTAATAAGGACTGGACGTAAGGTACCATTAAAAATATTCGTTTATTTCAAACATTCAACATGCATGTCCTCGACATTCTCGCATTCTGGAAGAGTAAAGCGGATTCTTTCTAGCACAAATTCTTTGTAACGCTGTGGTCCTTCCACCAAGAGGGTCACAGGAATAAAAGCTCCTCCGCCAGCCTGTTTGTATCTGGAGAACTTCTGGGTAAAGCTTGACCTCGATGTTACTGTCCGTTCTCCGTTGATTTCCCTATTTTGGGTTACAAGAAAACCAATTAAATAAAGTTGAACCAAATAACGCGCACTGATAAAAATTGGGACGAGTGAGGTGTGAGATCGCGGAATCGGGACAATTTCGTTTCTCTCCAGTATAGGTCGAGGAAAGACAATATCTTGCTTCTTTCCGATTTTTAAATAGACATTATCAATTTCAGTCCAGCAAGCCTTTACGAAAAAGTAACAGTAAAGCAAGAAAACAGTAACTCACCCTTCAATTCCTGGTTATTTTGCCACATCGAAGCAAAGCATGCAGCTGTATGTTTAGAAAGTGCTGAACCGTGCCGATCTGCTGCCCTTTGACATCTCTTAAAGTGTATGTCTTTCTCTGCGATTTGCTGAAAATCTGGACTTCTCGTAGAGCCTCTGGAATGCGTTCCATTTCTCGTGGAAGAAGACAAGCCAGTGCATGCGAGTCATACGTGTCGTCGTCTTCACTTTGAATAACAGGATGATCCACGTGGAGCTTTGATCTTGAAATTATGATACCTGGAAAATAAACGCCAATAAAAACATGAGTGGGATAAAATAAAATCAAGTAGTCACAATCTATATTAAGACGAATACACATGATCGAATTCAATGCAAGAGAATCATACAAGGTATTTTACGCGCTATTGATCGATTCGCGGGAGAATCTAGGTCTCAGAACACTACAAATTCGGTCCTACAGCTTTTAGTCAGCAATAATATGTCCTCTACAATTACCCTTTGATTTGAACACCCTGTATAGAAAGTTTGTTTAGGTAATCACTGCAAAATGTGAAAGCACGAGCGGTGTTTCTAAACGAGTTTCACAATTACAGACAAGTCCCTTGTGGTTTTAGACGAAAATTTCACTCTCATCAGTTCGTGAAGTTAAACTCTAACCTTTGTTTCCGGAATGCTGTAATAGAGACACTTCGGCAAGGCTTTCCACCAATGTGATTTCTTTATTTTCATCTTCATGCCGCTCTTATCGCACATTTCCCGGATACGATACCTAAAGATGTGAGAGCTCAGTGAACGAATACCTCTTTGTTTTATGTTTGCCCGAAGGAGAACTTACTCGCTGGATAATCACATTTATGTGTTAGATCCGTGGTTTCCTGAAATTATTTTTTAGTGTGCATTCGCCTTGGCTGAATGAATCTCTCTGATGTCAAGATCTACATTGATTCGAAATTTCATCCAGAGCTCCGATTTAAAAGATTCTTTGTTTGTAGCACTGACCCAGGTCCGTGGCAGATTTGTGCCACAAAGACGACAAAGTGTCTCGAGATACTGAATGTGTTCATCCATGCTGTTGGCTTGATCTGAAATTCACAATTTAGGATTATAAAGGTCCGATAAATAATTGTCCTTTTACTTTAAATTGGTCGGCCACAACGTATGGTTAAAATTTATGGTTTACATAATACTCCGATGGATCTGAACAAAGGAATCCCTCTGGTAGTTTGCACACTAACAGACTTTCAACATTCGTGCACTCGAGCAAAAACCTCGTGCACTCGATTGGAATTTTGACAAATTGGAAGCAAATTTATTATAGTTTTTTAAAAGATTTTTTTTAGGAATCAAAAAAAATGTTGCATACCTGAAAACCTCAACTAAATAGAGGTTATTCCTCGATCGAGCCCTTCGCAACATGGACCTCCACCCGACTTTTCATCTGAATTTTTCCTTGTCGTCATCGCGACCACCACCAGCTCTTTGCTTGTTGTGTGTAGTTGCTTGTCTTCTGTAATTTTGCAAGGTTTCATGGGATATGGGTAGGGAACTAAGTCGCTAGGGCTCGAATAAAGTTATGAGTGAGTTTCCTCGATGTCCCACTACGACATCCATGTTGGTGACGTCATCAAGTATCCAGAAATGGTTATGGCGCGGACTGACTATGGCTCCCATACATAGCTCTTTACCCATCATTTTGTGAACTTAATTCCCCGCAAAAACTAGTGGCGCCCTTTGTTTGTGGCCTTAATTCTTTCCAAAGCGAAAACTTATTGGAAAGTCAACATTTCTTTTTTTGTACCCAGAGTTTACCTCTGTTATCGGTTGCTTGTGTTATGGTTTCATACAACCAATCTTGGCGCCTCAGTTAAGGAAGGTGAGTTGGTTTTGTATATCTAACCTCGATATTGGTGATAAGTTACGATATTTAGTAATATCGAAATCGAAATCTTCCTCAGAAAATTTATTTTGGCGCATAAACTACGTGTACAACTTTGTTCATAAGTCTTTATCTGTTTCCTTATAGCTGGGTCAAAATAGCGTACAGATTGGTCTTGTTTTCTTCTTCTTTGCCGGTTTTAACGCCCTCTCAGCGATAGCACTGGGCTTTATAGCAGACAAAACGGTAAGTGAGACTTTTTACTCATCTATTACAACCCCGACTCACCGGCCTTTTCCGGCAAAATTGTGTTGACTCCGCGTGAATATCACGCCGACTTCAAAATTATCGTGCGACGGTGAATGCTAAACGAGGACTGTTTGTAATCCTTTTTCTTACCTTGGGACACTCTAGTTTCTCTTCAGTTCTGTCGAGTTTAAGGTGTTTTAGCAGTGACAGACAATGAGCTCCTAGTTTTGTACATTTATTTTTATGGGTCACGAAAGATTATGGGTCGGGATCTGCTAAACTCGACTCTTATTCTACTCTTTCTTGTACTGATCTTAACAGAAAACAATCTTATCTCTAACTTCTTCAAATCAGTATTCCATGTTTTAATGAGAACGCAGCAGTCAAAACAAAGTCTTTTTAAGGCTTGGTGACCACGCAGAAGCTCTTTGTTTATCCCTGTTACGCTGTACTTCTCTTATTCGAAATATTAGACGACCTTTTTTATCCGTCACCTCATGGTAACCGAATGTCGGTATCAGTTTAGATATAATTTAGCCCAAATTATGTTCACAGGAAGTTTTGATAACCACGTAGGGAGGTCCTCTTACCTAGTCTCGTCGTGATAGCGGCGATCTCGCAAGTAACAAAGTAAGGTTTCGAAAAATAATCGGCCAAAACAGCAAATATAGCGACGAAGTAATACTAACTTGCAGATGAATTTTCTCAAACTGAGACTTTCCCAACAAACCCTTGGCCTGACGCTTGCAGAAGTGATGATAGTACGCGCCACTTGCCAGAAAGAATTAGCTTTAAAATTTGATATGCTTGAGCGAGAGAGCTTTAATCGTGTGTCCTACTCACCAGGTCAATTGAAGCAAGAGCTTTTATTTTCGCGTCCTTGTTTATCGTCGAGTTTGAATGTCTGATGCCGAGTGACCACAGTTACCGTATTCCTGCAAATGAGCGCCACGCTCTAATATACATCCTTTTTCGAAAAAGCACCCATTCTCTTGGCCATAATGACAAACAAGCGCCCTTCTCGAATAAGCTCTTACCCTTGTCTCGTACCAATATCTACTACGGCCAAGTGGTTGGATGTTGGCACGAGAATACAACTGCCCCCCTCCTCCTGTACTTTCTTAAATAATAAGGATACAAGGAAACTTGTTTTCACTGCCACTTTATTTATAAATTTTTAAGCTTCAACTACGGCGGAATCATTACAGAAGAATAGTTTCTTTTCCATTTCATTTATTTCATACCCTTGCAGAGTTCCTTTGTTTGCGTTATCTGTTCTTTTAAGTTTTTGTCTTTTTTCTGCGATTACTTATTAAGCACCCCCCCTCCCCCCTTCGATTGAGCGCCCTTCTCCCAACAAGCGCCCCTCCTTTTATTCCAAATTTTAAATAAGCGTCCTGACGTTCTATCGAGGAAATAAGGTAAATCTACACTGCTTTTCTGAGAGATTTCTTTGTAAAACGCTATAATGGAAAATGTGTTTTCCAGTTATATTAAAAGCCTTCAACAAATTTTCTCGTCAGAAATGTTACCGATTGCTGCTCCTGTTTGGTGTGGTCACTTTCAGTATTGGATACCTGTTGTTAGGACCTGCTCCATTTTTACCATTTCTTCCCGCTGAGTATGTACCTACAGTCACGTGCATGTATTTGCTTGCAGTTGCAAATGTGTACCCGTTGGCTGGATTTGGCGAGTTTGCCAAAAGTATATTTATTATTGAGGCTAACAATTGTTCATGTTTATAGTTATCGGCAAGTAAAATTTACGTGAATTTCTTGTATGACTAGGAAGGAAAAGTTGTGTTTGGAGCGTAACAAAACACACAACAGCAGCTCATAAGCGGGTTACATATAGCGACCATATGTGTTTTCTGAATCAAAGTTGGCACCCCCCTCCTCCCATCGAAATCTCTGGAAGTGCTCCTGATCTACAATCATTATATATATATATATATTTAGCCATCTTAGAGGCTCAAAACAGCTGATCTTTAAAACAGACCATTGAATATACGGTTGAAATTGTAAAGGACTGATCCTCATCATTAATGATATTAGAAGCCGAATATGAGACACCTTGTTGACTATATTGTGATGATGAACATTAACAGGGGTTCAGTGGGTTGCAGTGTTATACAGGTTTACCTCGTACTGCAGTTATCTATTTTTTGTTGGATTAATCACAAATTCTAAACTGAGTGTTATCATTGCAGTGAGTTATGGCTAATACGTTTTGCCATAGCGTTTACTGGATTCTTTACTGCATTTTTCTATGTGCCGTTATTGCCTGAAATCTTGAAAGTTGCAAGGTAAGTAGCTAACTGCCATGTTTGTTGCAACATACTGAGCACCACAAACATAGTGGAAGCAAGTGAGCTTCTTATCCCTATGAGGCAGGATCATTAGCACAAGGACTCAGCAAAATATTTGTCATGCGCAACCTGAGAACACGTAATCCAGCAGCCCGCCAATACTCTTAGTCGCGCCATTAATACTTAATAGATTAAGTTTTTTTTAGTGGCAATTTTTCTAGTTGCAAACGATGCAAAACGCTTATGATTTTAAATAAAGACTTAAAAATGGCCTAATGTTTCTGCTGGGTAAGAAAAAAATACAGCACATGGACATGCCACGTAAAAGCCGAGAGAGAACCGAGGCGCCTCGCTTCTGTAAGTGAGCAGATTTTGCCTGGATTTAAGCGAAGTGTGTAATCTAAACAAGCTTGATAAATGTATTTGATCACATTGTGAGCAATTTAAACACAAAGCTGTGAGGCACCTGGGAATTTTTAAGCACTCTTTGTGCCATAGCCGCTGACTACAAATACCCCCCTTCTTCTCTTCCTGCGACATGTTTTTGCTGAGGGTCTCCTCAGTCTCCGCAGGACGCCCATTTGTCTCTATTGGCGGTCGATATCTTTAGTAATCTGAGTACAAAGCTCTTCATTTTTGCATTTCAAGATATACTGAGAGAAAGATATTGGAAACTCCCCCCCCCCTCCCCCCACCGAATTAAATCAAATTACCATTTTGTGACAGTATCCAAGAGTCGCACTAAGCATACACATGCGAAATTTTCTCAGATATTCTGTGATATATTTATTTGTTATTTTACAGTGAAAATGGAATGCCCGAAAATGAGGAAACAAAGGCAGTGCTTTCCAGCCTTTACAACACCATGTCTTATTTGGGGTAAATATTCTGTCTTCATCTTTGATGTATTACATCAATATCTTTGTTAAGGTATGGCGCAGAAACATATCAAGCTTTATTCCGAACAAACTACGAGCTATCTGCCGGTGAGGAACTCCTGTTCCCGTCACTGCTGCTGTTATTGCTACCGCTGCTGCTACTATTATTCTTAGTCATACTTCTGCCACTGCTACTGCTATTGCTACACCTACTTCTGTTACTGCTTCTGCAACTGCTAGTTCTACTAATATTACTACTGTTATACCGCTACTGCTTTTGCTCTGCTACTGCCGCTGTTACTGTTACTGCTTCTGCTTCTGCTTCTGCTTCTGCTACTACTACTGCTACTGCTACTGTTACTACTACTACTATTGCTTCTGCTATTACGACTGCTACTGCTTCTGCTACTGCTACTGCTTCTGTTACTGCTACTGCTACTGCTACTGCTACTGTTACTGCTACTGCTACTGCTACTGCTACTGCTACTGCTTCTGCTACTGCTACTGCTTCTGTTACTGTTACTGCTACTGCTACTGCTACTGCTACTGCTACTGCTACGGTTCATAGTACTGCTACTGTTACTGCTACTGCTTCTGCTTCTGCCCCTGCTTCTGGTACTGCTACTGTTACCGCTACTACTGATACTACTGTTCAGACTGTTGTTGTTAATGCTACTGCTATATTTCTACTGCTACCTCTATTGCTACTACTGCTGCTACTTTTACTGCTTCTGTTACTGCTACTGATAGTAATATTTCTTCTGCTGCTGTTGCTCTTACTGCCGCTATTACTGCTCCTGCTACTGCTACTATTAGTACTACTACTGCCGCCACTACTGCTGCTGTTATTCCTGCTGTTCCTGATGCTACTGTTTCCGCTTAAGTGAATTCTATGTTCTGATTGGCTATCTGATTGGGCAAGATGGTCCTAGTATTATTAATTTCCTTTTTGCTTCTCAGTTTTCTTTTTTTCTGTGCTTTGAGTCTCTTGAATAATTATTTTAACAGACTTTTTATCGGTCCAAGCCTCGGAGGTGCTCTTGCCGAACATTTTGGTTTTGCGTGGGCAGTGACGGTATGTAAATGTGACCTACCAAATTACTAAGCCTTAGTTAGTTAATATTTCGTTTGTGAAGTTGACGCACCTAAGCTTTACTAACCTGTAAGGAAGAGCACTACATACTGACTCTAAACAAATATACTCATAGTGCGTACAAATGACGTGACTGGACGTGACGTGACCCTATTTTTTATTGCAGAAAGACTCTGTTCACAGGCTGGCTTTTGTGCCAAAAGATTCAAGTAGTTTTGTAAGCTTCCTCTTTTTTTTTCTCCAGGTTGCAGCTCTAATAGGCCTTGCTCTTGTAAGTACACCTTTTCAAAATGGATTTCTACAGTGATCCACAACTGCAAAGCAAACAGTTGCAGCAAAAATAAAATAGTTGCAGCAGATATGTAACAGTTGCTGAAGATTTAAAGTAGTTGTTGCAACTACCGAATATCTGCAGCTGCTTCTACTACTGCAAAAAATATAAATACATATATTCTGCAAGTGCAAAATAGTTACTGCAGATGAAAAGTAAAACAGTTGCCGCAGATTTTATGCATGTAGTGGTATGCGGGTACTATGACTACTGGTAAGTGGGGTGGGATGGGAAGCCTCGCCTGTCATAACCGGCAAAATATAGAGGAAGATCGGACGATAATATAACACTTGCTTTCCCTTTGAGAATGAAAATGGAATTGTGCGGCAATTCTTGGCTGACATTCATGATATCAAAATCAGTTTAGCACTTTGAAGCGCAGGTTACGAGAGTTTAGCTTAAACAGAAAAGGAAAAGAAGGGAATATTGATCGGTTACGAGAGATAAAAATTAATGAAAGATGACCCGGTAAGAATTCAGCAAAGAAATAGACAAAGACTCTCCAACATGAGACACGTCAGTAAATTTGGTGGGGTATTAGTGTTCTTACTTAAGAATGGGTCAAAATTTTTAAACAGCTGTCCATTAACTGAAGGAAATTATATAAATTGTGCCTGAAAGACCGCATGTCAATTGAGTGTAAAGGTAATCCTCAATTACATTTCTTTTGCTTAGTTGCGTCAGAGCCTCTGGTTAAAGTTCAGCGCGCTCACAATTAAGCCAGCGCGTTATTCACACTGATTGCACAGGAGAAAAATAATATTTCCTTGTAGAAATATATGTTATTATTTGTAATTTACCCGACGGAAGGTCCCCATGAGAGAAAAGCTGTGCTCGAGGTCTTCAATACGGCCAGAGGCTGAAGGTCGAAGGCTGCACTTAAGACCAAAGGTACAGTTCAATCTCATGGAGACCGACCGCTTTGCTTTTTCCGCTTTTTTCGCGATTGGCGCGGAAGAGATTCCGGATTGTGGTCCTTATTTTGTAAGAACCCGTGGCCAATCAAATTGGAGGATTTGAGAGTTAGGCCTGCTGAGGAGTTTAAGAAAAAAAAATATATGTTTATGCACCACTGGGTCGAACAAGGACAAATGTTAGGTAACATTATTGCTTTGATGTTTTTAGGCATTGACTTTGCTTATCTTCACACTGGTGGAAAATGCGTCTCAAAGGTTAATAAATGTTTGGAGTGTGTTCTTGAAGTCCTGAATTATATTTTTAAACAGTTATCGTTAATATGCAGAAAAAATAACTTCACGGGGTTTACCTATAACTCTTTACTGAAAGTTAATCAATAGCGGATCTAATAAGCGTATAGTTCATATCATATTGAAGTGCCCAACCACTTATGCAAGGAATCTTATGTACCGTTTTATACTAGGAAATTTTGCTGTTATCCGTCTACCACGTTTCTAGGTTCTCTCTTTATTCCTACCCCAAGGGCTCCTATATTCTAGTTCGCACCAAAGAACAGCGGGAACAGGAGAGACTTTATTAACGAGATTGACGTGTCAAGCCATTTCTTTTAGTATTTACAGTTTGCACAAAAAATGCTTCAGCCTTAGAGTATTACGACTTGCGCATCAATGATTGTCATATCACGATATCTTCTTAACCCTTTACACCGTGACATCAATATGCATTTTCTCCATACTGCCCTGTAAACATTTCTTCGGTGTTGACAACTAAGGAGAATTTGCGTAACGATTAAGAGGTTCTTTAGTCGCTGATCATTTCCTTTGTTCTTGTGACCGTAATGTGTGAATTCAGGGTGATATTGTTTGGAGAAATTGGATGCGTGTCCCTTTTAGGAGTCAAAGAGTTAACCATAGATTATTACTCCTTCTTGAACTGTCATCAGAATATGCAGTTGCACCTAAATAAAAAGATAAGGAGCACGAGGCGCAAGCGAATGAAATAGTTTGAGTTTTTTCAAATTCTTACTAAAGATCATTGTGGTCCATTTGATCATCTTTGTTTGTCTTGAATTAATTTTACGATTCTTTTCTTTAGAAAAAATTCCAATCGGAAGGAAGAGAAGCTCTCTTTGTTAAATTAAGACACTACTTATGGCGATATGAAAAGGCAAGTTAGAAGAACCTGAATGAAAATAAAGAAGGAAGTCTGAGCAGTTTGGAAAACATTTTGATTCCTGGACGACCATCATTTATATGATTTTGTAAAAATTCTTCGATAAATAAATGAAATGAATATTGAATGAATTTTATTGTCTTGCATAATCATTGGGAGACAAAGCAGTTTAAATTGTGGGCCGAAAAGAAAAAAAAAACAATGACGATATGAGTATGATTGATGGATAGACTATTTGTATGGTTGTGCAATCGGCAAGGTAAGGCGACTGGAGGAAGGGTGAATGGAGACGTTAAACAGTCTGTAATAAAACAACAACAATAACAACAACAACAACATCAATAACAACAACAACAACAATAATAACAACAACAACAACAACAACAGCAACTCCATAATTTAACCGACAAACTTCGAAAGCACTTAGTAAGAGTCTCGTGTCTTACATGACGTCAACCCTACTCCAAAGAAGTAAGCTGGCAACGGTGTTGCGTAAAACCAAAATAAATAAGAATAATTTGAAATAAAAGTTACCGGGAATGAGAACGTCAGTCTCTTAACTTGACAGAGAATAACATTATAACATCTTAATCCAGTATTAATGTTCGAGAATACTTTTTCAATTTATGTAGGGATTGATGTGCGCTCATTGGTGGAGAGAGCCATTGTCAAAAATGTAATGGATCATAAAAATAACACAATATGTAACGCAATGCTCAGCAGTCCACGCCATCTTAGAGAAATCCACTCTCGGAAAACTCAATTGCAAAATTTACGAAAAAAAATGGACGGTGACGAGTTTCAAAATTTTAAGACCTGTATACTGGGAGAAATTTTTCAAGTCGAACTTGTCGAGGTGGAAGAAAAAGCGGAGGGAAGAGAAAGCCGTTTCTCGGACGGTAACGTTTGAATTACGAAGAAGACCACCTCGTAGAATTACTTGCCGATGCCGAAGCAAAGGGCACAAAAATAAAAAATAAGTGAACAATAAAACAAGTAAGGGTAATAGAGTCAATTACCATCCATTAATTACTAGTACATTAATGATAGAAATGACGTCAACAATGTTGAAAACTTTGTTGTGAACACTGTTGACCACACGTCTATGATCCACTACGTTGTAGATGATGGAAATTGTGTTCAATTTGTTTAATTAAACTGCAGCAATTACTAAATAACGGGGGTAAGTCAAAGCGAATGGCGAAGGGCTAAGGCTCGAGACATCAGCTTCGAAACTCTTTACTGTGGCCGATTTACGTTATCAATTCAGTTGAGCTGACCATCAGCGTTGTCTAGGGCTGCATGGTTTCCCTATGGTTTTGGTCTTACTGGTTTAGTTGTGGTACCTGTGGCGTTCGACTTGCTGTTTTGGAGCAGCACAATTCGCTTAGTTTCAGTAGTCTGACTAAAAGGCTCCATGGACAGACGCTTTACAGCACTCAGGACACCCACTGCAGTTTAAGGTTTTGAGCATTTTAATGTATGTGTCACGGATTTCTTCGTATTCTTCTCAGTTGGTGGAGATAAGTGGAATGCAATTGTGGATGATAATGGCAAGGAAAAGGTATTATGGAAAACGTTAACGAAAATAGCGGGAAAGCGGGAACGAAGCTGCCATTGTGCTACCATATATCAGTGAAGCTCGCTGACGTATGAATCAGTTGATAAGTATCCGTCGCACCCGGTTACAATGATACGAATATTTTCATTATTTCCTATAAATTCAAACCATCAAAGGCCGCGCTTTTTGCGCTGCCTCCTAGAGGGGGGTAGGGGGGCACTTTGAACATTGCTTTTGTCGTCTGCGTATCTTAAGCACCTTTCTGTGACTAACTATGTCATGTGTTTGATGCCAAATGTTGATCGGCAACTCTCACGCGATACTTGCTTTATCTAAAAGAGATAAAAATATTCTTAATACCAGCTTCTGACCAACCCTGTCATGTGTATGATACCAAATGTTGATATGCAACTCTCACGCGATACTTGCTTTATCTGGGGGAGATAAAAATATTCTGAATACCAGCTTGAAATCAGAATCTTATTCATAATGTTTATTGAACTGAATGGAGTGCCATTTGATCTAAAATCATATGCGTGATTTCAACCAATCGAATGAGTGCGCATTGCGAAGTGTAAGTTTGACTTTTAAATTAAAAATATAGTTTCAGACGAAAACTGTCATTTTTTCGCGGCACGACGCGCAATTACCACTTCACAACATCCATTTCCAAAACACAAGTACAGGGTTTTTAATCAGTACAAACAGACATGTCATTGTCTTTATTCAAAAAGGAATGTCTTAAATTTATTTTGACACCGATAAACTACGTGCATAACTTTATCTAAATTTTCATCTGTTTTCCTTGTAGTTGGGTCAAAATCTCACACAGACTGGTCTTGTGTTCTTCTTATTTGCCACTATTAACGCCTCCTAAGCTCTATTCATAGGTTTTATAACAGATAAAACAGTAAGTAATACTTAGCTTTGTAAAAGTGCAGTAATCACTGATCACTTCTCCTGTATCCAAGCCAAGGTCATCCGTTACTTAACTTGCACTGATTGAAATCTAAGACATCAGCGAAACAAGAAGACGACCTGGCGAGTGATTCCAGGAACAACTTCGTGACAAAGAAAGGATTTGAAAAGACACAGTCATCCAAACCAGTTGCTAAACACTTTAATCTCCCAGATCATTCTCAGCACAATACGGCAGTTTACGACGTTTCCCTACATCTAGGCAACCGGTCTGGAGAGCCGTTTTTCACGTTACCATGATACCAACAATAACGTAGCTCTTTTCTTCTGTAGATGAACCACACACAACTCAAAATTCCTCTGACGGAAGGAAAACGCACGAAATGTCAACATTAGGAACATTTTACGTTGGCCAAAATACATTATCAACTCATGTAATAAAACCATATTATCTTGTATCAAAAGCAGCCCCCGGCCTTTATACAGGTTTTCTTTCAAATTGCGCGACGGGCAAAGCCAAAGACCGGGGCTGCTTGTAATCTATATCGCCAGGAGTCACTTAAATTCTGGTTTCTTTCATTTCTGTCTACTTTTAGTTATATATATATTTGTTTTTATGGCTCACGAAAGAGTAAGGGTCGGAATCTACTAAACTCGACCCTTATTCTTCGCTTTCTTTAACTGATTTTCACAGAAAACAATCGTATCTCTAATTTCTTCTTATCAGTATTCAATCTTTACATAAGAACGCAGCAGTTAAAATAAAGCCCTAAGGAGGCTTTTAAAAATTTGTGACACATAAGAGCTCTTTATTTATCCCCATTACACCACTCTTATTTCATTCAAAATATCTGACGATCTTTTTTAATCCGTTAGCCCTTGGTAACTGATTGCAGATGACAGCAGAGACATAATTTAGCATAAATTATGCGAAGGAAGTTTTGCTCTCCATATTTTAACACACAAAGGTGAGAAAGCCCTCTGACTTGATCTTAACATGTTTGTCGCGACTGCATAAGTTTTATGCAAGCAGATGTAAAATAACTTTTCGAAAAATATCGGCCGAAATACAGCAAATACGGCAACGTAGTAATTCAAACATTCTCAAACAGAGACTCGCCCACTAAACCTTGCCACTCGAACACAAGTAAACGACCATGAAGGAAAGCAGTTCAGAGATTCTGCTACCTAAGAGTACAGGCGAAACCCGTCCGGAGACGATAGAAGAAACATGGAATGCGTGTAACATAGTCCTCCTTCTTTCAATGTGCCTGGTTTACTTCGTCCTATACGCAGCATACTCAGTTTACGCGCCATTCTTACCGAGTGAGGTAAGTACAATCATGTCGCCCTATATTTAACGGAAGTTTTATGGTAATTGCAACAGAACTTTCCCCTTAAAAGCATTCCTTAAGGACTGAATTTTCATTGGTTGAAATCGAAATCATGCCGCGCCACATGTATAATCCCCGCACCTTCAGTTCATTTTGCGACTGAATCTGATGTATTCATTACTTACATCTCATCTTAACTTGTTAATTTTTAGGCAGAAGATAGAGGCATAACCAAAATTTATGTTGGATTGATATTTGGATCCTACGCCTTTGCAATTTTCCTAACCTCACCACCATGGGGAGTTCTTGTAAGTACATGTACTGCGTAATAAATTCCTTTTTATTTAAAGAAGGTGCAAGGTATAATTCATTTTACCTAACGTCACTCGTTCACCAAAAAGCTAAAACATAAAGTGAATTCAGAAGAATCTAACCAATCCATCAAGTAACATGAAATCCATTTTTTATTTCAGGTGCCCAAATATGGTGCATGCAATATACTTTTAACAGGTATTTGTATCGCTGGAACATCTTTGATGTTAATGGGGTAAGTAGAAAACTCCGTACTTTAGTGTCAGTTAGTTAATGTGATTCCTTGATGTTCTATTGCGCATGCTGTACTGCGCATAACATCACCACAGCCGCCACCAACAGAGTATAATGGGGGAACTGTATAATATTGACTGCCAATTAACTGTTGACATGAGGAGGGGGGAGGTCATAGAAATATTACAGAGCCAACCCCACCCCCCTCCCTCCCGGAACTCCTTAGGCGATAAATCATGACCGATCCCTAATGATAACTTCAATATCGAGAGAGGTTTGAGAACTTTATTTCTGGTGAATTCTTTTATGAGGATATAATGTGTTTAAATGTGTTTTGTTTTCTAGATTTGGGGAAATGATTTTTGATCCAACAATGTTTATAGTCTTTTGTTTTGTGTTACGAATAACATCAGCAATTGGGGCAGCGGCAGCTGAAACTGCTGTACTCACTTTCATGCTGCAGAGGTTTCCAAATAATGCCGGAGCAATTGCTGTATGTTTGCATTTAGATTTTAATAATTCATGAGCTGTTATTCTAAGGCTCCGTTCAAACTATGGTAGATAAATATGAAAACGACTTTTTCACTATGGCAACGCAACAAACTTATATCCGTCCAAACGGATGAAACGTTTTCTGTCCACAATATGCCGGATAAATTTGTATACGCGACAACCATCGGCTGCAACCACTATTTGCAAGCATGATAACAGTGCTCATTCTGCCAAAATATAAAAGCAGTGACTTTGTTATGTTTGGAAAGCTCGATTTAAATCCGGATTATTGTGGACGACGACCTAACCGTGTGTGAATGCCCGTGTTTTCAAATTTCTCCGCAGCGCTTTATTTTGGACTGTTGATCACTGACATTTTTTTAGAACAAGTACAACTTTCTGATTGCTGCTTATTTCGTTCAGGTTTTTTTCATTGCGATATCCAAATACAATCACAGCACGACTTGTCGCACGGTTCACTTCAAAGAGTATAATGTAGTTGCTAGGGACATGTACCGACGCACATCTGTGCATAGTGACTAGTCGAATCTTTAAAAAAAAAATCAAAAAGCATTAGTAAAGAAAGAGATTTTCAGAACTGGAGACTATATTCTGTTCTATTCAGACAGCATGATTGTTGCTCTTTTAGTTCTACCAGAAAGACAATCCTTTAATCATTCATTTATTTTACTTTTTCTTGGAATGATATAAAGAGTGATTTTTCCCTTGTAAATTCCATAATGTGTTTAGGCAGGAATGCAGCTATCTTCTCTTGGTGGAAATTCCTTTGCTCCAGTTTTCGGAGGGTTTCTCTACACAGTAAGTACGAACCTGGTAAAACAGCGATTTCAATTTAAGATTAAGAACAATGGGAAGAGATTATCTAAATTATCTTAGATCATCATCGTATTTATTTATTTAATTTTTTATTTGCAATACAACTTCTGCGCAAAGGTTGAGCGTCAATATTCAGAGTTGATCCTATAAATTAACCAGCAGTGCTTCTGGTACCCGTTATTTTTATAAACCTTTCGTGTTCACAAAGTAGCCATAATTATGGTTACGGACATCTAAAGCTGCATGCAATTACACGCGTAAGCAGTTTGGCGATTGTAATCACTCGTGCCGAAAAAAAGTGGGAAGAAGGGGGGGGGCCTTACTCGAGAGGGGCGTTTATATTGAGAGAGGGACGTATTTGAACGTGGCTTAATCGAAAAAAAAATTAAAAGTGAAAATGCACTGAGAATAATGGAAAATGCGCTGAGACCACTTGAAAAGTGTCTACACATCATAATGCGCTCTTTCGGGAGATTTTTTTGCTTGCGAGGAATGCTTTATCATTCTTTTGCACAAGGTAAAACTGACTTTATTTTGACACGTGGTCTTCGGTCGTGTCAACAGTTTTCTCGTATTGGTAATATCTCTCATTCGATCGCTTCGTTCATTCCTGATAGACATCATCAACGCTCAAAGATAAAATTCGTTTGCACGTATGATCATGTAATATCCAGTATATATACGTAAATACCCTTTGATTTCAAAATATATAGGCTCAAGTTTAGGAATGTTGCACCTCAATAACAAAATCCTTTTTTCATACCATGATATACATATTTTTGTTTCAGGTAGGAGGCTTCAAACTTCCTTTCATCATTATGGGTATAATTCTGTTATGTAGCATTGGAGTTTTAGCTTTTCTGCTATCACACGAAACAGGTTGGTGAAGTAATTCATGTAAACTATCCGTTAGACTTAGTACGAAAACGATTTTCTTTTTGATATATTTATCCACTTGAAACATTTCCTTTCTTTTAACTGATTAGAGAGTCAGAAAGATGATGAATCAAAAGAAAGCATATCCATTTGTAAATCTATGAGACCATTAAAGATTCCCGCTGTTTTTATGATGGGTAAGTTTCACATGCATCCTGGGTAAGCCATTAACTATAAATAACACAGCACGCGAGCAAGCTGTCAGTGGGCACGAGAAATTCGAGCCAGTCTTTTTGCAGCTCGTGCCGTTAAACCGGCAAAAAAATTGCAAGCTATGTTTCCAATTCACTTCACGACGCTATTCTGTTTATGAAAAAAAAAAATCAAGATTGAACATCTAGGATAAGTATCACACAAATTTAGCTGCATACGATTTTTTTCCCAAACGAAATTTATCACTATGGCTCCCATACATAGCTCTTTACCCATCATTTTGTGAACTTAATTCCCCGAAAAAAACTAGTGGCGCCCTTTGTTTGCGGCCTTAATTCTTTCCAAAGCGAAAACTTATTGGAAAGTCAACATTTCTTTTTTTTGTACCCAGAGTTTTCCTCTGTTATCGGTTGCTTGTGTTATGGTTTCATACAACCAATCTTGGCGCCTCAGTTAAGGAAGGTAAGTTGGTTTTGTATATCTAACCTCGATATTGGTGATAAGTTACGATATTTAGTAATATCGAAATCGAAATCTTCCTCAGCAAATTTATTTTGGCGCATAAACTACGTGTACAACTTTGTTCATAAGTCTTTATCTGTTTCCTTATAGCTGGGTCAAAATAGCGTACAGATTGGTCTTGTTTTATTCTTATTTGCCGGTTTTAACGCCCTCTCAGCGTTAGCATTGGGCTTTATAGCAGACAAAACGGTAAGTGAGAATTTCTACTCATCTATTACAACCCCGCCTCCCCGGCCTTTTCCGGCAAAATTGCGTCGGCTCTGCGTGAATATCACGCCGACTTTAAAATTATCGTGCGACGGAGAATGCTAAGCCAGGACTGTTTGTAATCCTTTTTCTTACCTTGGGACACTCTAGTTTCTCTTCAGTTCTGTCGAGTTTAAGGTGTTTTAGCAGTGACAGACAATGAGCTCCTAGTTTTGTACATTTATTTTTATGGTCACGAAAGATTATGGGTCGGGATCTGCTAAACTCGACTCTTATTCTACTCTTTCTTGTACTGATCTTAACAGAAAACAATCTTATCTCTAACTTCTTCAAATCAGTATTCCATGTTTTAATGAGAACGCAGCAGTCAAAACAAAGTTTTTTTAAGGCTTGGTGACCACGCGGAAGCTCTTTGTTTATCCCTGTTACGCTGTACTTCTCTTATTCGAAATATCAGACGACCTTTTTTATTCGTCACCTCATGGTAACTGAATGTCGGTATCAGTTTAGATATAATTTAGCCCAAATTATGTTCACAGGAAGTTTTGATAACCACGTATGGAAGTCCTCCTACTTAGTCTCGTCGTGATAGCGGCGATCTCGCAAGTAACAAAGTAAGGTTACGAAAAATAATCGGCCAAAACAGCAAATATAGCGACGAAGTAATACTAACTTACAGATGAATTTTCTCAAACTGAGACTTTCCCAACAAACCCTGCCGCTTGCAGAAGTGATGATAATACGCACCACTTGCCAGAAAGAATTAGTTTTAAAATTTGATATGCTTGAGCGAGAGAGCTCTAATCGTGTGTCCTACTCACCAGGTCAATTGAAGCAAGAGCTTTTATTGTCACGTCCTTGTTTGTCGTCGCGTTGAGTTTGAATGTCTGATGCTGAGTGACCACAGTTACCGTATTCCTGCAAATGAGCGCCACGCTCTAATATACATCCTTCTTCGAAAAAGCACCCACCCTCTTGGCCATAATGACAAACAGGGGCCCTTCTCGAATAAGCTCTTGCCTTTGTCTCGTACCAATATCTACTACGGCCAAGTGGTTGGATGTGGGCACGAGAATACAACTGCCCCCCTCCTCCCGTACTTTCTTAAATAGTAGGGATACAAGGAAACTAGTTTTCACTGCCACTTTATTTATAAATTTTTAAGCTTCAACTACGGCGGAATCAGTACAGAAGAATACTTTCTTTTCCATTTCATTTATTTCATGCCCTTGCAGAGTTCCTTTGTTTGCGTTATCTGTTCTTTTAAGTTTTTGTCTTTTTCTGCGATTACTTATTAAGCACCCCCCCCCTCCCCCCTTCGATTGAGCGCCCTCCTCCCAACAAGCGCCCCTCCTTTTATTCCAAATTTTAAATAAGCTCCCTGGCGTTCTATCGAGGAAATAAGATAAATCTACACTGCGTTGCTGAGAGATTTCTTTGTAAAATGCAATGATGGAAAATGTGTTTCCCACTTATATTAAAAACCTTCAACATATTTTCTCGTCAGAGATGTTACCGATTGCTGCTCCTGTTTGGTTCGGTCACTTTCAGTATTGGATACCTGTTGTTAGGACCTGCTCCATTTTTGCCATTTCTTCCCGCTGAGTATGTACCTACAGTCACGTGCATGTATTTGCTTGCAGTTACAAATGTGTACCCGTTAGCTGGATTTGGCGAGTTTTCCAAAAGTATATTTATTATTGAGGCTAACAATTGTTCATGTTTATAGTTGTCGGCAAGTAAACTTTACGTGAATTACTTGTATGACTAGGAAGGAAAAGTTGTGTTTGGAGCGTAACAAAACACACAACAGCAGCTTATAGGCGGGTTGCATATAGCAACCATATCTGTTTCCTGAATCAAAGTTGGCACCCCCCTCCTCCCATCGAAATCTCTAGAAGTGCTCCTGATCTACAATCATATATATATATATATTTATATTTTTTTTCAGCCATCTTAGAGGCTCAAAACAGCTGATCTTTAAAACAGACCATTGAATATACGATTGAAATTGTAACGGAGCGATCGTCATCATTAATAATATTGGAATCTAAACTTGAGACACCTTGTTCACTATATTGTGATGATGAACATTAACAAGGGTTCCGTGGGTGGTATTGTTATACAGGTTTACCTCCTACTGCAGTTATCTATTTTTTGTTGGATTAATCACAAATTCTAAAAGGAGTGTTATCATTGCAGTGAGTTATGGCTAATACGTTTTGCCATGGCGTTTACTGGATTCTTTACTGCATTTTTCTATGTGCCGTTATTGCCTGAAATCTTGAAAGTTGCAAGGTAAGTAGCTAACTGCCATGTTTGTTGCAACATACTGAGCACCACAAACATAGTGGAAGCAAGTGAGCTTCATATTCCCATGAGGCAGGATCATTAGCACAAGGACTTAGCAAAATATTTGTCATGCGCAACCTGAGAACACGTAATCCAGCAGCCCGCCAATACTCTTAGTCGCGCCATTAATACTTAATAGATTAAGTTTTTTTTAGTGGCAATTTTTCTAGTTGCAAACGATGCAAAACGCTTATGATTTTAAATAAAGACTTAAAAATGGCCTAATGTTTCTGCTGGGTAAGAAAAAAATACAGCACATGGACATGCCACGTAAAAGCCGAGAGAGAACCGAGGCGCCTCGCTTCTGTAAGTGTGCAGATTTAGCCTGGATTTAAACGAAATGTGTAATCTAAACAAATTTGCCAAATCTATTTGATCACATTGTGGGCAATTTAAACACAAAGCTATGAGGCACCTGGGAATTTTTAGGCACTCTTTGTGCCATAGCTGCTGACTGCAAATACCCCCCTTCTTCTCTTCCTGCGAAATGTTTTTGCTGAGGGTCTCCTCAGCCTCCGCAGGATGCCCCTGTGTCTTTATTGGCGGTCGATATCTTTAGTAATCTGAGTACAAAGCTCTTCATTTTTGCATTTCAAGATATACTGAGAGTAAGTATTGGAAACCCCCCTCCTACCGAATGAAATCAAATCGCCATTTTGTGACAGTATCCAACAAAGAGTTGCACTAAACATATACATGCGAAATTTTCTGAGATATTCTGTTTCATATTTATTTGTTATTTTACAGTGAAAATGGAATGCCCGAAAATGAGGAAACAAAGGCAATGCTTTCCAGCCTTTACAACACCATGGCTTATTTGGGGTAAATATTCTGTCTTCATCTTTGATGTATTACATCAATATCTTTGTTAAGGTATGGTGCAGAAACATATCAAGCTTTATTCCGAACAAACTACGAGCCATCTGCCGATGAGGAACTCCTGTTCCTGTCACTGCTGCTGTTATTGCTACCGCTGCTGCTACTACTTATTCTTACTCATACTTCTGCTACTGCTACTGCTATTGCTACACCTACTTCTGTTACTGCTTCTGCAACTGCTATTGCTACTAGTATAACTACTGTTATACCGCTACTGCTTCTGCTCTGCTACTACTACTGCCACTGCTACTATTACTGCTACTGTTACTGCTACTGCTACTGCTTCTGCTACTGCTACTGCTACGATTCATAGTACTGCTACTGTTACTGCTACTGCTACTGCTACTGCTACTGCTACTGCTACTGCTTCTGCTTCTGCTTCTGCCTCTGCTTCTGGTACTGCTACTGTTACTGCTGCTACTGATACTACTGTTCAGACTCTTGCTGTTAATGCTACTGCTATATTTCTACTGCTACCTCTATTGCTACTACTGCTGCTACTTTGACTGCTTCTGTTACTGCTGCTGATAGTAATATTTCTTCTGCTGCTGTTGCTCTTACTGCCGCTATTACTGCTCCTGCTACTGCTACTATTAGTACTACTACTGCCGCCACTACTGCTGCTGCTATTCCTGCTGTTCCTGATGCTACTGTTTCCGCTTAAGTGAATCCTATGTTCTGATTGGCTATCTGATTGGGCAAGATGGTCCTTGTATTAATAGACGCTTCTAAAAAAAAAAGACAGATTTAGGTATACATTACATTTCCTTTTTGCTTCTCAGTTTTCTTTTTTTCTGTGTTTTGAGTCTCTTGAATAATTATTTTAACAGACTTTTTATCGGTCCAAGCCTCGGAGGTGCTCTTGCCGAACATTTTGGTTTTGCGTGGGCAGTGACGGTATGTAAATGTGACCTACCAAATTACTGAGCCTCACGTAGGAGTTAATATTTCGTTTGCGAAGTTGACGCACCTAAGCTTTACTAACCTGTAAGGAAGAGCACTACATACTGACTCTAAACAAATATACTCATAGTGTGTACAAATGGCGTGACTGGACGTGACGTGACCCAATTTTTTATTGCAGAAAGACTCTGTTCACAAGCTGGCTCTTGTGCCAAAAGATTCAAGTAGTTTTGTAAGTTTTCCTTTTTTTTCCAGGTTGCAGCTCTAATAGGCCTTGCTCTTGTAAGTACACCTTTTCAAAATGGATTTGTACAGTGATCCACTACTGCAAATCAAACAGTTGCAACAAAAATAAAATAGTTGCAGCAGATATGTAACAGTTGCTGAAGATTTAAAGTAGTTGTTGCAACTACGGAATATCTGCAGCTGCTGCTACTACTGCAAAAAATATAAATACATATATTCTGCAAGTGCAAAATAGTTACTGCAGATGAAAAGTAAACCAGTTGCCGCAGATTTTATGCATGGAGTGGTATGCGGGTACTATGACTACTGGTAAGTGGGGTGGGATGGGAAGCCTCGCCTGTCATAACCGGCAAAATATAGAGGAAGATCGGACGATAATATAACACTTGCTTTCACTTTGAGAATGAAAATGGAATTGTGCGGCAATTCTTGGCTGGCATTCATGATATCAAAATCAGTTTAGTACTTTGAGGTGCAGGTTACGAGAGTTTAGCTTAAACAGAAAAGGAAAAGAAGGGAATATTGATCGGTTACGAGAGATAAAAATTAATGAAAGATGACCCGGTAAGAATTCAGCAAAGAAATAGACAAAGACTCTCCAACATGAGACACGTCAGTAAATTTGGTGGGGTATTACTGTTCTCACTTAAGAATGGGTCAAAATTTTTAAACAGCTGTCCATTAGCTAAAGGAAATTATAAATTGTGGCTGAAAGACCGCATGTCAATTGAGTGTAAAGGTAATCCTCAATTACATTTCTTTTGCTTAGTTGCGTCAAAGACACTGGTTAGAGTTCAGCGCGCTCACAATTAAGCCAGCGCGTTATTCACACTGATTGCACAGGAGAAAAATAGTATTTCCTTGTAGAAATATATGTTATTATTTGTAATTTACCTGGCGAAAGGTCCCCATGAGAGAGAAGCTGTACTCGAGGTCTTCAATACGGCCAGAGGCCGAAGGTCGGAGGCTGCATTTAAGACCAAGGGTACAGTTCAATCTCATAGAGACCGACCGCTTTGCTTTTTCCGCTTTTTTCGCGATTGGCGTGGAAGAGATTCCGGATTGTGGTCCTTATTTTGTAAAAACCCGTAGCCAATCAAATTGGAGGATTTGAGAGTTAGGCCTGCTGAGGAGTTTAAGAAAAAAAAATATGTTTATGCACCACTGGGTCGAACAAGGATAAATGTTAGGTAACATTGTTGCTTTGATGTTTTTAGGCATTGACTTTGCTTATCTTCACACTGGTGGAAAATGCGTCTCAAAGGTTAATAAATGTTTGGAGTGTGTTCTTTAAATCCTGAATTATTTTTTAAAACAGTTATCGTTAATATGCAGATAAATAACTTCACGGGGTTTACATATAACTCTTAACTGAAAGTTAATCAATAGCGGATCTAATAAGCATATAGTTCATATCATATTAAAGTGCCCCAACCACTAATGCAAGGAATCTTATGTACCGTTTTACACCAGGAAATTTTGCTGCTTTCCGTCTACCACGTTTCTAGGTTCTCTCTTCATTCCTACCCCAAGGGCTCCTATGTTCTAGTTCTCACCAAAGAACAGCGGGAACAGGAGAGACTTTGGTAACGAGATTGACGCGTCAAGCCATTTCTTTTAGTATTTACAGTTTGCACAAAAAATGCTTCAGCTTTAGAGAATTACGACTTGCGCATCAATAATTGTCATATCACGATATCTTCTTAACCCTTTACACCGTGACATCAATATGCATTTTCTCCATACTGCCCTGTAAACATTTCTTAGGTGTTGACAACTGAGGAGAATTTGCGTAACGATTAAGAGGTTCTTTAGTCGCTGATCATTTCCTTTGTTCTTGTGACCGTAATGTGTGAATTCAGGGTGATATTGTCTGGAGAAATTGGATGCGAGTCCCTTTTAGGAGTCAAAGAGTTAACCATAGATTATTACTCCTTCTTGAACTGTTGCAAGAATATGCAGTTGCACACAAATAAAAAAGATAGCGAGCACGAGACGCAAGCGAATGAAATAGTTTGAGTTTTTTCAAATTCTTACTAAAGATCATTGTGGTCCATTTGATCATCTTTGTGTGTCTTGAATTAATTTTACGATTCTTTTCTTTAGAAGAAATTCCAATCGGAAGGAAGAGAAGCTCTCTTTGTTGAATTAAGGCAAGACTTATGACGAAATGAAATGGCAAAGTTATAAGAACCTGAATGAAACTAAAGAAGGAAGTCTGAGCAGTCTGGAACACAATATATATATGATTTTGTCAAATTATTCGATAAATAAATGAAATGAATATTTAATGAATTTTAATGTCTTGCATGGTCATTGGGAGACAAAGTAGTTTAAATTGTGGGCCGGAAAGAAAAGAAACAATGATGATATGAGTATAATTGATGGATAGACTATTTGTATGGTTGTGCAATCGGCAAGGTAAGGCGACTGGAGGAAGGGTGAATGGAGACGTTAAACAGTCTGTCATAGAACAACAGCAACAATAACAATAACAAAACAACAACAACAACAACAACTCTATAATTTAACCGACAAACTTCGAGGGCACATGGTAAGAGTCTCGTGTCTTAAATGACGTCAAACCCTACCCCAGAGAAGTAAGCTCGCAACGGTGTTGCGTAAAACTAAAATAAGTAAGAATAATTTGAAATAAAAGTTACCGGGAATGAGAAGGTCAGTCTCATACCTTGACTTAACTTGAACATCAGAGAATAACATTATAACATCTCATTTCAGTATTACTGTTCAATAATCTTCTTTTATAATTACTGTAGGGATTGAAAAGTGCTCGTAACGCACCGCTAAGCAGTCCTCGCCATCTTAGAGAAAAAAATTTCTCTCGGAAAACTCAGTCGCAAATTTGCGCATAAATGGGCGGTGACGAGTTTCAAAATTTTAAGATCTGTATATAAGGAGACATTTTTGAAGACGAACTTGTCGAGGTGGAAGAAAAAGGGGAAGGGAAAATCTTGAGGAAGAGAAAGCCGTTTCTCGGACGGTAACGTTTAAATTACGAAAAAGACCACCTCGTAGAATAACTTTCCGATGCCGAAGCAAAGGGCACAAAATTAAAACTAAGTGAGCAGTATAAACAAGTAAGGGTAATAGAGTCTATTGCCATCCATTAATTACTGGTATATTAATGATAGAAATGATGTCAACAATGTTTAAAACTTTGCAGTGAACACTGTTGACCACATTTCTATGATACAGTATTTTGTAGATGATGGAAAATTGTGTTCAATTTGTTAAATTAAACTGCAGCAATTACTAAATAACGGGGTAAGTCGGAGCGAATGACGAAGGGCTAAGGCTCGAAACATCAGCTTCGAAACTCTTTATGGTGGCCAATTTACGTTATCAATTCAGTTGATAATATTAAATTACCCTGCAGCAATTACTGTTGGCTCAACAGAGTGTGATGGTGACTTGATTCGTCAAAGGCTCCTTCTATTTGAGCTGACCATCAGCATTGTCAAAGGTTGCATGGTTTACCTGTGGTTTTGGTCTTACTGGTTTAGTTGTGGTGCCTGTGGCGTTCGACTCGCTGTGTGGAGCAGCACAACTCGCTTGGTTTTTTTAGTAGTCTGACTAAAAGGCTCCATGGGCAGACGCTTTACACCACCCTAGACACCCAATGTCGTTTAATCATTTTAATGTGTCACGGATTCATTAGTATTCTTCTCAAGTGGAATAAGTGGAATGCAACTGGGGATGAAAATGGCTAGGAAAGGGTATTATGGGAAACGTTAACGAAAATACTGCGGGAAAATGGGAATGAAGCTGGCACTGTGCTACTATGGCATGGCATTTTCAATTATGTCAAAAATTGGAAAATCAGATTTCATTTCTTTAGTCAGATGTTGCCTGCACACAAGGAAGGATATCAAATTGTAACGTGACACAAGCCAGTTGCGAGATGCTTTTGTGGTTAAAGCACCATGGGCATGTCGGTCTTAATTTATCTGAAATAAATGTCAAAGAAACACTTTGCGCTCTCTCAGAAATTGTTTGTTTTATTGTGTGGTCACTTGTTTGCTTTTTATAATAACTTATGGAATTATTTTCTGTTCTTTCGGGAAAAGGCCCAATATTGTTTTTCCCTCAAAGCCGCCCGAGGAATAAAGTAAAAAATCATTCACAGAGACAGTACGAAATCCTTAAACTAAATCAGAAAACAAAAAACGTTGCTACATCACTCTTAGAAAGGGGAGGGGACTGGCATAAGTGTGTTTTCTCACGAGCAGGGCGTTCTGATCAGTGAAAAATGGCAATTCCTGTCATTTTGACAAAAACCAGCGAGAATCTTAGAGAAACACCGTGTCCAGGATTCCAAGTGCAGGAATCCAAATTGCTTTCCAGACTTTGTTCTCGTTCTCCTTTGTTTTCTTTCTTGTATCTTTGCCATTTCGTTTGGTAGCTAAAAGTGCTTTAGTTTAACAAAGAGAGTTTCTCTTCTGTCTGATTGGAACATTTTCTAAAGAAAAGAACAGTGAAATTATTTCAAGGCATACAAAGATGAACGAATGGAGCACAATTAAGAAAGTTGTTCATCCTATCGTTGAGAACTAGATTATTACATGACAATCATTGATCAGGCATTCTACTTTGATACTCTGACCAGAAGTTTCAGTATCCGAAAAAAAATTGCGAGACACGAAATGAACCATATTACCTGAGTCTCTACTAGCTTCTACTCTTTCTGTTGTTCATCGCAAAGGAGAACCACACTAACAACAACAATTACTGGAATAATTTAGGATTTCACGAAAATATTACAACAATTACTGACCCTCGGGACACCTTCTCCACCAATGTAAATATAAGCACAACGAGTGCCTAAAAATGTAAAATAAAATAGTAAATTGAAACAAATTAATTATTGTTTAACTTCGTTTTACATGAATGTATACACGAAATGAACCTTATTACCTGAGTGACTCTAGTTGTGAGCGCTTTGGACTCTTTCTGTTGTTCATCGCTAAGGAGAACCACACTAACAACAACAGTTACTGGAATAATTTAGGATTTCACGAAAATATTACAACAATTAAAAACCATGGAAGATG